AAAACTGAACTGAAGGTCATCGGACATATGTCCGACCCAAACTCAACGTCACCGGACATTTTGTCAGACGGCCCTGGAAAAGATATTTTAAGGCCTGTCAGAGTAACATCACAAACATCATGTCTTTATAAGACTGATGAGGCATACAAGATAAATCCTGAAGTATAGTCTAATATACACACTGTCATGCAGGACTAAAAACAAATTTCGTACTGCAGGCTATATGAATATTTTCGTTCCGACCTGTTCACAAATAAATTAGAAATTGAGTGAAATTAATTTGGTATTCAATCAATTTCAGTGATCAGGCATTTGTCATATTTTCTGTGTTGGTGTAATGTACTCAGGTGAATAAGATGTTCGTGATGTTACTCTGAGTGTATATCCACACCGGGCAAGCTTGAAAAATATGCTTGGCCACGGTGGGAATCGAACCTTTGACCCTTGGTGTTAGTGTTATGTACTCAGGTGAATATGATGCTTGTGATGTTACTCTGAGTGTATATCCGCACCGGGCAGGCTAAAAAAAAAGTATGCCTGGCCACGCTGGGAATCGAACCTACGATCAGGTATTTAGTAAATTTAGATATTCAATCAGTGTAATTTTCAGAATTAGCTATCGAACATAAAAAAATGTCTAAAAATTTCAGCAAAAAATGTAGACCCCCAAACAATTTCTGGGAACTAGGTTCTCAGGTTCCGATACTTTTTCCACCTCTGCTACAGTTAATCTTTATTAGCTAAGCAAACAATAGCGAGCTTCAGATCTACAACGCGAAATTACGACGCGCATTAAACAAGATTTATTTTAAAACGATGGCAAATACCATTAAAATATTTTTATCACAGTAAATAAAATGAAATTATACTGGAAAAAATGTACAACATAACAGAGGCAAGCAATATATTAAGAAGATATTTTTTATCATAAGTTTTTACGACTTCTATGACGACGAATCTTTGCAAATATCACGTCGCCTCGGATGGTAGTTTTGGCGGGAAAATGTGCATTCGTAACAATAGTCTATATAGAGCCTGGTTTCTATATTTCGTATGGCTGTTAACGTGTCATAACAGTGTCACAAATCTCGCAGAAATAAACTGTAACAACTCTGACTAGGCTTACACTCGAAAACTAGGCTTAGGTAAGCACGTCCGCGTCACAAATTCGCGTAGATCTTAAGCTCCCTATATTGTTCATCTGTGTCTATGAATTGCGCGACCAAGGAAAAAAACTAGTTGTCTCTGCTCAACCCTACAAACTATATTCAATCAAGTTTCTATTAAGTGTCTGTTTCAGAAACGCTGTCATGTTTAAAATTGTCTTGTAAATTATCGCCATACACTTTTGGTGACTCATGTATATCCTGTTTGTCTATAGTTTCGTCTTCAATCTTGGGGAATACTGGCAAGAGATCGACTCCGGTTCTCATTTCATGAACATTTTCTTCCTCTTTTCCTTCGATTGGACTTTCTCTGTTCGCGTTTCCACCTCCAGCGTCGCTTTCAGAATTTTCATCTCTGTCTTCAATTAAACTTTGCCCGTCGTCCGTGTTTCCATTTTCAAAATTTTCACCTTCGTTTTGTCCTTGGTCTTGAGTATTAAAGTTATCCAAAGGCTTTTCCGTACTTTTACGGAATGCCGGAATTTGGTAGTCAGAGGTACTATCATTTAAAGATTCCTGTCCACCTACAAGATTGTTCTCTGCAGTGGTAGGAATTTTAGCAACAAAAGAAACGTCGCGTTTTTCCTTATTTTCCGAATTATCTACCATAAACCTCGATATATTGTTCTGAGTGTTATCAGAATTATCTACCATAATTCTCGACACTTTCCGAGTGCCGGAATTATCAGCGATCATTTTCGATACATTTTCAGTTTCAGAATTATCGACCATAATTTTCGATACATTATTCTGATTGTCATCAGCACTATCGACCACAATTTTCGATATATTATTCCGATCTTTATCGGAATTATCTACGATATCTTTGAGTACCTGATCCTGATCAGAATCTTTTACCAAACTATGTGTGTGTCTAATCTTGGTAGGTCTATGCCTTGAATGCCTTGAATCTTCTAAAGTTTTCAGTTTGGGTTGTCCATCTTCAGTTTCCTTCATACGTTGTCGTCGAATCATCTCCCTGCGGGAGGCATAACTTTCTAAATATTAATGATACAACGAACGTACTAGAATATATGCAGTACACACGCAAAAATGTCACATCTTGTACCAGGTCTGCCAACAAGTTGTGTTCGCATTGCTTGTTCCAAGTTGTCAACAAGTTTGGAACAAGCTGTTAACAACTTGTAACAACCTTGCTGATATTATCAGACTTGTTGCAACTTGCAAGGTTGTTCCAACAAGTCCGATATAGTCATGATATAACAATATTGTTACAACCTTGTGTCGTCAACCTTGTAACATTCTTGTTATATCATACTTTAGTAGAACAACCTTGTAACAAGCCTGATAATGCCATGAAGCTTGTTACCAGTTGTGAACAGCTTGTTCCAAACTTGTTAAAACAACTAGGAACAAGCAGTGTACACATTTGTGAACAGATATGTAAGAACTTGTTTGCAGACCAGTAACAACTTTGCGTTTTTACGTGTGTACGTGATTTTTGTACGTAACGTGTGTAAATTTGTTTCATTCTGTGCTTATATTATCAGAACAGTGGTAACTAGGAATGTGAGTTATCCCACCCAATTCACTCACGTATATAATTGAAATGCTTGGTTACCTTTGTTCCATTGTATGCTTACATTATCAGAACAGTGGTAACTAGGCATGTGAGTTATCCCACCCAATTCACTCACATATATAAATTAAATGCTTGGTTACCTTTGTTCCATTCTATATGCTTACATTATCAGAACAGTGGTAACTAGGCATTTGAGTTACCCCACCCAATTCACTCGCATATATACACTACCTTTAATCTTGTGTCTTATACTTTCTTGAATCACTTCATTCTTTCTAGTCAAATCATTCACTTTAATACGGAGATCTTCTTTCTCTTTCCTCAATGTATTTAACTGTTCATCAAGAGTCTGTCTTTCGGATTGTTGCTGCTTTCTGTAGGAAATGAACAAGAAAAATTTATACTCAACTTGTTGATATAGTTGCTTTCCAGTTAAGCAGGGTCTGAAAATTGCATTATCCCAATAGCCACAACAGACTCGCAAATAATTATTTTGCTTGGAAGGACAGATATCTGATCAAGACAAAAAGTGTTCGGACATTTATCAGTTTTTCTCGGACAATGGACAATTTTTCATGGTCTTTTTCATAATAGCATTATGTATGATCTGCACTGCAGTGCATCTAAAAACTGTGTATAAATCTACAAGCATTTCCAGTAAATAATGCATACTGCATTTTCAGTAAATAATGGTTCAGGTTATACATAACTTTAATTTCTACCATGTTACAAGAAGACGATTTATATTTGTAATTAAATCTTACGGTTTAATGCGGCCAAAAAATAATTAATGGAAGAGTGTCGTTTATATTGCTTTGGTTTCATTAATGAAATTGTGTTAAAATCAATTTTTTGAGATTGGATATTTGACCAGCCTAAATCGGTTGGTCACATGTCCGATCATGAAAAACTTTGATCGGACAAAAGGTAAAATTTGGTCAGACAATGTCCAATGACCGACACTGGTAATTTGCAGGCCTGCACAGAATACTGAGGGACTGGTGATTCCAAAGTGGGCACATTGCCACAAATCCCTCATAAATTTGTGTTGGCTAAGATATGTTTTAATAATCTATTGTATGCATACGTTTAAAATGTTACAGTTGCATTCAATTATTGTGTAACCTTACATGTCATTTTGAAGCTTTCCATTCTGTTCCTCTAGCTCAGTATTTTGTTTTTTCAACTTCTTGTGGTCCAACATTACATGATCAGCTTTCTCTACAAATATTTGTGGAAGTTAAGAGTAACAGCTGCAGATGCTTGCCATGTACCACAATATAAACTAAAGGTAGGTAACATATACAGCACAGGCAGCTGTGTAGTATCATACCATATTGCTTTATTTTGCTCACATGATACTACTGGATACCTGGTGGAAATATATTAATCCAGTCCTATGTCTTGGCCTTGATCCAATTGTGCAGACTTGAAATCTAGTCCAGTCCTCATACTCATAGTCGGATTTGAAATATTACATTTGGTTGCTCTTTTTTTCAAAAAGTATCATTTTAACTGAGAATATTGAGGAAAAAGGTAATCAAGTCAGGAGAACTTTGTATTACAGTATATGCGTTCAACATCATATTCAACAATGATTTCTTTTCAATTTTCTGCATGAATTACATTCTATAATTCTTTATAATAATTAAGTACTGTTATATAAATCTTCATGTGTTTTACAAGTTAGAGTATTTATATGATCATGATGTTGATCACATGAACTCCAAGCTACACAAGCTTGAATACCTGATAGTTTAGTCAATACTTCATGAGATTTTGAAACAGATTTGGTAAGAGTTGATATTTCAGCTTTGTGATCTGCCTACAAAAATAGAATTGTGTTTCTCTTTAGACTTTCAGCAATACACCCTTCTGGACATGGAAAGTATGTCACCTTGGCTATAAGAGCCTCATTTTCATGATTGCAAAGTTGGACTTTAACTAATGTCACATACATAAACGTAAGGCTCTATATCCAAAGTGATGTTCTTTCTGGAAGCGTGGATTGGCAATTCCAAATTGTGGAAGGCTTATATGGGGTAGACTGTTGTGAAAATTTGTGGCATTGCATGTCGATCCCCAGCTGCGCTACCCAGATCTGGATAGTTGATTCTGATTGGTCATACTTAATTTAAACTCAGTAGATTCTGATTGGCTGAGTTCAAAGGTCAACAAAGTTCTGACTTTTCTGTCTAACATAAACAAACACATCACACTTGAACAGACTTGGCCTCATAGCTGAGTTGGCAGACCATTGGACTAATATCCCAAAGGTTGCGGGTTCAATTCCCACCATGGTCAGGCTAACTTTTCAGCCTGCTCAGTGTGGATATATACTCAGAGTAACATCAAAAACCTCACAAAACACATCATGGTGAAATACATTTCATTTAAACACAACTTACAGCCAACTGATGAAGCTTCGTAATCTCTCCTTTGTTTAACTCTAACTGAGACTTCATCTTGGCCAGTTTTGTTTGAGTTACACCCAGTTTTGTATGCTTTGATAAATTCTCTCTCTCCAACAGTTTAATACGAGCATCCTTCTTTTCTATTTTTTCCAACGCATCCTTGACAAGTACTTTATTTTTTTCTTTGCTAACTGCTAATGCTTCCTAAATAAAATAAACAAACACAGCTAATATAGCCGGCTATTTAGTAAACTGGAGAGACTAATTTATTACCAACTTTACAGTTAATTATCCCATTGAGATGCAATGTGCCCTACTTATTTTTTTAACTTTTCTAATGCCACACGATTTTACTCGTCAATGGGGAAGCTCTGCAGCTTAATGGGTTAACAAAAAAATCTGACAGTGTCTCCAGTTAACCCATTGAGGCACAATGCACCCCAGTGAGTCCTATTTTTTTACTTGTCTAATGCCAGACAATTTTATTCGTCAATGGGGAAGCTCGATCTGCAGCAGCTTAATGGGTTAATCTCCTATCCATGCAAGTTGGATTAGTCATCAATGTTTCATCTCGATCAGTCTATCTGCTGGTCTTTGCCAAAAATGGACCTCAGAATTGAAATCGTTATGCACAAATTAGTCCACATCAAAAATGTTACGATGTATGGACATTTCGGGGGCGAGTTACAGTCAGTGCTTTGAGAGTAAATCCATTTACCGAGTCAAATCCGAGTCAGTCCCGAGCCCGAGTCAAATGCCCGAGTCGCGTAAAAAAAAGGACGAAAGTGAATAAAATTCACAGTCGAATAGGGTTAGGAGTAGGTTTAGGGTACTAAATCATTTTACCGGCAAAGACAGTTAAACAGTGACTCGGACATTTGACTCGAACTCGGATTTGAGTCAGTCAGTAACCGACAAACTCCGAAATTGAATAAAATTCACAGTTGAATAGGGTTAGGGTAAGACTAACCTAAGGCTAATGCCAGACAATTTTATTCGTCAATGGGGAAGCTCGATCTGCAGCAGCTTAATGGGTTAATCTCCTATCCATGCAAGTTGGATTAGTCATCAATGTTTCATCTCGATCAGTCTATCTGCTGGTCTTTGCCAAAAATGGACCTCAGAATTGAAATCGTTATGCACAAATTAGTCCACATCAAAAATGTTACGATGTATGGACATTTCGGGGGCGAGTTACAGTCAGTGCTTTGAGAGTAAATCCATTTACCGAGTCAAATCCGAGTCAGTCCCGAGCCCGAGTCAAATGCCCGAGTCGCGTAAAAAAAAGGACGAAAGTGAATAAAATTCACAGTCGAATAGGGTTAGGAGTAGGTTTAGGGTACTAAATCATTTTACCGGCAAAGACAGTTAAACAGTGACTCGGACATTTGACTCAAACTCGGATTTGAGTCAGTCAGTAACCGACAAACTCCGAAATTGAATAAAATTCACAGTTGAATAGGGTTAGGGTAAGTTAGGAGTGGGATTATGGTTAGGATTAGGGTACTAAGTCATTGAACTGGAAAGACCATTGATTAAACAATGACTCAGACATTTGACTCAGACATTTGACTCGGATTTGACTCGGTTAACCGACAAACTCAGTGCTTTGAAACTAATTTGTTTTTGCTATACATTTCTATATGGAATTTCCACTGGACTTTCAAAACGTTGTAACTTGTACCCTACTGTAAATGTCCAAATTTCATGAAATTTTCCATATAGATTAATTTGAACATGATGATTTCATGTCTGGGATCCATTTCTGCCAAATATGAAGATGAAATTTTTTTATCATGAACTAGGAAAGGAGAATTGCATCTAATACCTACACCCCCTGTCAAGGACCTTGATTTCTGGATATAACAACAGAAAATCGGAGAAAAGAAAATGCTGTTGAAATGAAAAAGGGCTAAACTCTAAAAATGCAGTACCAAAGACAGATGAAGACAGGCAGAGCAGGCTTCCCAACAGAAGCTGGCATCTTGTAATTCTCGCCATCTATAGCATAGTCAACTGCCAGTTGTTTCTCAAAATTATAACCCAAAATATTTCGTACTTACCACAGAAATATCAAGGGAAATGTTTCTTGCTTGTATAACAAATTTTATTAAACAATATTCTTTGTTCTTATATTTGGATTAAGACAAAATCTCTGGAAATTCCATTTCAGAGGTCAAAATTTTTAAATCTTCATTGGGGGGGGGGGGACAACCCTATTGAAGATCCACTCTCATGCAGGAGAGGTACATGATTGTACTGTACATTCATCACGGCCACATAGCTGCTTACTTCTTTCAAAAACCCTCCCAACTCAAATTGGGAACAGAGCAGTCAGTTTATATAGATTATTTGGGCAGAATGCCAGAAAGTACAAGCCTCAACAGAGGTGGGTACATTCTGCAAGATTGCAAAATTTGTTGGCATATTAGTGTGAGATTACTGGACTGATGCAATATTGAAAAAAACCTATATATCAATAATGGCAAAAAATCGATAATATCGACTATATCGAATTAAGCAAATTGGAAAACATAGTTTAGTCAACTTGCAACCTATACCACATCACAAACAGCAAAAAGTTGCATGAAACTAGCCAAACATTAAAAGATTTATTTACAACTGCCGCTTGTGTGGGTGGTGATCTTCTGTGACCCACACTTGCTCTGTTTACTATTGTCCACACTAGGCTTGGGCGGTGGTTTACCAGTTCTTATCGGTTCTATTTTCAAACCGGCTTTTTTCGGTTTAGCTTTTACAAAAACCGGAAAACTTAAACTATCATTACGTAATTGTTTACTGTCATCGCCCGAAACTCGATCTTACAGTAATTCCCAAAACATGACACTAATTAAACTCAATTACAAGACACTAAATAATATAAAGTCGGAAAGAACTAAAGAGGTATAATGCATTCTTGACTCTTTTATTTTAAAACTGAAGTCATTTTAGGTACCTTTTACACAATTTTGCATCTTGTCGTGTACTGTTCGTTTGCTCATGTCAAAAAAAATATACCATAATTCCTTTTGATTCAGTTGAAGTAAAAATTAAAGGGAAAAAACAGGTTTTACCAGTTTAGAATCAGACGGTTTTTCGGTTTTGATTTTAAAGCAAAACCGCCCAAGCCTAGCCCACACACTTGCTACTTGAATTCGCAATTGCCATCATACATGCATGCAGATTGATCGCAAATATTGATTTGGCGCAGAATGATCCCAAAGATCCATTTGTGCAGCAAATTTGGCAAAGATTTGGTGAAGCATTTGAGCATTATGTTAATATATTTGAAATTATGATTTGAAAGGAATGAAAAGCCAAATTTCAAAAATTCAAAATTCAGTGAAAATTTCTGAAATTCCCCAAAACCGCATATTTTTTCGTGTCAATTTTCTTGACGCAGGTTTTGGCACGGCTTTACATCACTTCATCACATTCCAGAAAACATCCATACCATCCCCACGGAGGAAATTGGAAGTTAACCCCCCTACCCCCTTCGGATGTCCTAATACATTTACTATTATCAGAAACAATTTTGTCTCCCCTCCCCCTCTGGACGGCAGAAATTTCCTCCGTGGGGGGAATGTGGATCTTTTCTGGAACGACCCAATTCACCCTGGTATTCTGACACAGGTTTCAAGTCCCCAAAAGCAGAACAAACGTTGGCACATACAATTCCAGAATAGAGTTTACATGGAATGCAGTCAATGCACCAAGGGGTTTTAATTGCTTTTATAGTCCTTTATATCAGCAAGGGCACAATGCCAAGTATTAACTTATTAACTTGATGCAGGGTTAATAATCAGTCATCAGTATCCAGGCTTGATTATAAAGCTTTCCTAACTAAATAAACATGGTGTTTTCCACAAAACAAGGCAATTCTATTTAATATCACGGTATCACCAACGAATTTCAACACTTTGCATATGAACAGTTTTCACCAACCTTGAAAATCTTGACGTTTCTTTCAAGCTCAGAATTTTTAGTTCGCACGTTATAAACATGATAAAAAGTAATCGTAAAAAGCACTCCAGCTGCGATGAGATAGGGAGGAAAACGATGTCCTGAAGGCATTTCTTGCTTGAAATTTCAAAACTTTTGAGAAAATTTACTTGTCCATTTTTTTTAAGCCACGACTTGGAAATGTTGATCTACCCGATTCGCATCACTTTCAAATTTGACGCCGCAAAAAATGTCGCCAACTGCTTCGCCTGCGAGCAAACGTACAGCAGTGCTGAATGGACTCTGCGAAGGAACGAGAAAAATCTTGTTGTATGGAGAATTTCTTATAGTAATATATTAATTTCTTCACAAAAGTTGGGAGTAGTCGTTGATTGATTATCATATTGAACATTTATCTACTGGTGTATTTCTGAGCTGTTATACAGGGTGTGTAAAAAAGCTGACGAATGCTACGTGCATGTCTTGTATCATTGCGATCAAATACGACTGCAATGATTTGGTTTCTTGCACTTCACTTGGTGGAATTAATATTAGAATGTTAGGGTTTGTTAATCCAAGTGAGTATCTATCATTATTAGATCAGTTGTATATATACATTTTAAGACCTGACCAGGAACGACTGCGAAAAATGTAGCAAAAGGTCCCCTGGTAGGAATTGAACCTACGGCGCCCTAACCAACTGAGCTACAGAGGCCAGCTGTTGAGCTATAACCGTAAGTTCATGTATATATAGGTAATCGGGTGTGCGGGTCGTGATGAGATGGACTTCAATGATTCGGTTTCTTGCACTTTACTTGGTGGAAGCTCAACAGCTGGCCTCTGTAGCTCAGTTGGTCAGAGCGCTGCACGGGAATCGCAGGGCCGTAGGTTCAATTTCTACCAGAGGACCTTGTGCTGCATTTTTCGCAGTCGTTCGTGGTCAGGTCTTAAAATGTATATATACTCACTTGGATTACAAACCCTAACATTCTAATATTCGATCAAATACGATCCGATTCAAAAATCCGCTTGAAATCGCTGCATTTTTCCACCGTTGCCGTTGGGAATTCGGCATGTAAGGCTATTGTCTGAGTATTGGAATTATTCTCATTTTGGATTCAAATTCAAGTCGCTTGCATCGAGATGGCGCAACGCATGTGCAAGCATCAAGTTTTGGTAAATTTCCACTCCTAATTTAGCACAAAAATCAGGTTAAAATATTTTACAAAATGGGCGTTTTTAAATTGAACTCGCAATGCCATACGCTTCCCAAATTGGAAACAAGCTTTTGGCAAATGTTCGAAAATTGGAAGAACATTTAATCCTAAATGTGGACTAAAAATGGGATTTAAATCGACCACCGATCGCCATTTGGTCTTTTTTATGCCAATGATTCAATAAAGGTGTCATTTGACAGCCAAAGACAAAGAAAATTGAAACGAAATGCATGAAAAAGGACTACTGCATTGTGTATAACAAGCCTGTTATTATTGACGATTACAAAACCTTACCTTATGGTTATTAATTGCATGCTTTTAATGTTAACAGTTAAAAATTGTTACAGCAACTACAGTTTGAAATAAATGATTGTTTGAACGATCTGAATTAATTTTCAATGTTCAGTTTATGATAATGGTCCACATTTACTCCCGTCTGTTCTTCCAATGCCTTAATCTGTTTTGCATTCTTGGTGCCAAGATCCCACATCATTATTTCCTCGCCCTTGGCGTTCATGGGCTTGTGATAAGTAAACCAGTAAAGGTGTTTCATTGGGGAGCAACAGCACTTCTAAATTGGTCAACGTTTCCAATATGATTTGCGTTTAACATGATAGAGTGTAACGTTGAATTATTTGTAAGCGTTGCAGGAACATAGTTACATATTGTATTTTTATTGTATGCATGTCATCTGTAATTGTATCAAATGTCGTAGCAAATCCAAAATTGTCATATTTTCCTGCTTGTGCAATACTTTATCTTTCCTACATATGTTTGTATAACGAGCACTTATTCAAACTGACCCATGACGTGATAATCTTCAGAAAAAAATGGGAATTCATTCATACCTTTATCCTTCTTTTGAACGAGCCGAGACAAGCGAATGTTTTAACGTGCTTAATTTACAAAATGAGCCATCTTATGAATCAGGGGCGTAGGAACTGGGGGGGGGGGG